TCTTCTGCTCCCACTCCATGAATGTCAAGTCATACACAGAATACGGGTCTTTCAACAAGTCATTGGTCCGCTCAACCGATTTGGATGTAAACCAACTAAACATTGAATCGGTTTTATTAGTCAGACAACAATCACTACAACAAGCAATTTTGGTCAGCTTTTGATGGACAACAGGTTGTGACAGAAATTGCTTATATGCATATAACAAATATCTCAAGACTTTTGTTAACTGATAATTAGTTATCAATTATTTGAATTTTAAAAGTAATTGTAGTCTCGCGTTAACTTTTAACAACTATTAACTTTTGTCAACTTTTTGTTTAGTTATATTGTTGAAGTGCAATTGTTTGATCAGAGTGAAATTGTAAATTACAATTATCGCCAACAATACTCATTTGCTAAACAAGTTATGTATTAAATTTAAGAATTTATCTTATGTTTATACATCAATAATTAGTGTCTAATCATTAGACCCTTCATTTATTAACTTGTTGAAGTAGTTTTGGATTAGGACTTTTTGAATAATTGAATAAACATTTTGTAAATTAATTGATAAAAACATGATTATCGACAATCACTTCCAAATTGAGAATTAAAATTTTTAATTAATATTATATTATACTATTGTAATTTATAACTATAGTTATCTAATTTTTGATTGTTTTAAATTATTGATACAATATTGATTATTAATATACACTGACCACTACTCCTACACTTTGTTATGTTATTCAATTACTTCGAGTAAATACAATACTATATAACAAATAACATTTATTAATAAATTTCAATTAACACAATTCACAATTTATATTACAATATATGGCATTTCATTGACTGTAGATGATACAATTTAAGTTTTCTATGTAAAATAAAGTTTCAAATCTATTTATTATTTGTATGTTTGCAATATATGATCCAAACTATGATTACTTAAACTATTAATATTGATATTAATTCAATACAATACTGTTTACATGTGATATAATTATCATAATATTCTTCCACATTATATTTCTCTACTATACATGTATTTTTCAAAATATAATTTTAATGCCGTTTTATAGTCACTTGAATAACATTTATTTAACAGTTACTTGACTTAATAATATAGAATCTACATCACCAGAATTTACATTGTAGATTCTGGTGATCACAAAGTATTGCTAATAATTGACAACAGTTAATTACAAATAAGAGCTCATATAATAATAACATATTATAAGCTATATAAGGAGACAATTTTAATGGGGAATAGTTTAACCGACAATTTGTGTTAACTGTCAAACAATTTTACATTCTTTTTAAACTGAATTATTTTTAAGAATATTTGAACCAAATATTTCATTTGTATTCTTTGCAAACTTTTCTTGAAATTTATTATTAAGTTTGAAATCAGTTTGATTTTGTTCATCAAATTCGTCGTTTAGTACACCATTTGAATTGAAGTTAATGTTCACAATGACTGTATTCATGTGACTGTTTATCTCATCATTTGTTAATATTGTTCCCTCCAATTGATGGCCAGTTTTAAACCGATTGATTGCATTCAGATTCACTTCCATTGATTCAAACGAGATATCATTTGATTTTGGACTCAATTTTGGAGATTCTGTTTACAATATTTATGAAATTAATAAGTATTTATGGGATTTATATTATTTATATGATATCTAGTTAAATATACATATTAATATTTAACTACCATTATTATAAGAAATTGGAGAATTGATCTCTTGTTTGCCAGTTAACCAAAACGACTTCATTTCTCCCTTACCCTAAAATATGTGTTAAATTATAAATATTACCCTAAATTTCAAATAATATTACAGTATTATAATATGTTTAATACCTTAATGGAAATAACCCCTCGTTCTTGAATGATATAACCTCCGAGTTTGTCCAGAATTGTCTTACAGGCTTCACTCACATGTATTCTCAATGCTTAACATTTCAAATACAATTATAGCATTAATTTTGATAATTATAAAAGTTATTCATTTTAAAACAACTCACGAATTCCTGTCGATTCCATTCTATTGCAAATAAATAATTATTAATTGCGTTAAAAAATTATTAGTTGTAAAATAATACCTTGATGCTGTGTTGACAGTGTCACCTTCATTTTGCATAATTTTTATAAATAGGTATTATTTAATATTGAATAAGTATAAAAATAATGCATTTATTACCAAAGAGACAATATCGAGGCATTTTGAGGCCAACAACTCCGGCAACACACGGACCCGAATGGATACCAATCCTAAGTTTGAGTCTTTCGCCGCTCCGGTGTTTGATCTCAAAGTTTTGTATTGCACTCAACAAATGCAATGCCATTGACGCCACTTCTCCCGCGTGTTTGTCATTATTACGGATCGGAAGTCCGCTCACAACCTGTCCATTCATTTATTACA